CTTTCCCTATGAGGAAAGGTTAAGGCGCTTAGGGCTCTTTAGCTTGGAGAAACGACGACTGAGGGGTGACATGATCGAGGTTTATAAGATTATGCATGGGAAAGAGCAGGTAGGGAAAAAGGTTCTTTTCTCCCTTTCTCACAATATAAGAACTCATGGACACTCAATGAAATTGCTGAGCGGTCGGGTTAGAACAGATAAAAGGAAGTACTTCTTCACCCAAAGAGTGATTAACACGTGGAATTCACTGCCACAGGAAGTGGCAGCGGCTACAAGCATGGACGGCTTCAAAAGGGAATTAAAGCATATGGAGCAGAGGTCCATCAGTGGCTATTAGCCACAAGGTATAGATAGGGGCTCTGGGGCAAGTGATGCTCTGTCTTCTTGGTGCTTGAGGGGAGGTGTCAGCAGTGGGAGGGCTTCTAATGTCCTGGCCCCACTGGTGGACCTCCTGATGGCACCTGGTATTTCTGGCCACTGTGTGACACAGAGTGTTGGACTGGATGGGCCTTTGGCCTGATCCAACATTGGAGTCTCTTATGTTCTTATGTTTTTAAATAGTTTCCAAGCGTCCTGACTCTCTTGTGTTTCCCCTTCAGTTTCCTTTTTACTATTCCCCTCATTTTTGTAAAGTTCCCTCTTCTGAAATCAAATGTTACCGTTTCCATTCATTTGAATGCTGTAATTTATAGCATTGTGGTCACTGCTCCCAATTGGTTTAACAACCTCTACATAACTCTCAAGGCTCAGAATCAAGTCCAAGATTACTACTCCTCTGGTTGGCTCTGTAACGAACTGTTCCAGTACACAGTATGATGTCTAGGAATCTCATTTCTACTGCATGTTGAAGTCTCCCAGTATAATAACATTATCTGCTTTAGTCACCTCCCTTATTTCTTTCTTCATCTCAAGATCAGCCTCAAGTACACCCCTACTTTTAAGCAACACTTAGGGCCCAGCATTTCCACCCATATTGCTTCTTTTGGGAATGTTTTATAACGTTTGATTCTATGCCCTTTTTGATATACAACACAACACCAACAACAACCCATCCCTCCTGTCCTGCCTATAAAGCTTATACCTAGGAATGACTGTATCCCATAGATTTTCTCCATTCTACCATGTTTCTGAGATACCTACTGTATCTAAATTGTCATTGAACACCAAACACTCCAGCTTCCCCATCTTGGCTCAGAGACTTCTAGCACTGGCATATAGACACTATCATGTGTTTCTCTCTCCAGTAGTCTCCCACCTCGCCACACATGGCCCTCAGTCACTCCCAAGTTCTATTGCACTCCTATCAATATTACCCTGAGTGTTTGTACAATCTTCCCTTTGGACTGACGTGACCCAAAGCAAAGTTTCCCTAACTTCTATTGGCTTTTCCTCCAGGATTAGTTTAAAAGCTGCTCTGACATCTTTTTGATATTAGTTGCAAGCAGTCTGGTTCCCTTTTGGCTCAAGTGAAGCCTGTCTCTTTTGTACAGGTATGGCTTGTCCCAGAAGGTTCCCAGGGCCTAACAAATCTAAACCCTTCATCCTGGCACCATTTTCTCATCCACACACTGAGACCCCTGATCTGTGCCTGTCTAGCTGGCTCTGTGCGTGGAACTGACTGCACTTCTGAGAATGCTGCCTTTGAGGTCCTGGCATTTAACTTTCTGCCTAGTAACCTAAATTTTTCCTTCAGGGCCATGCAACTACATTTTCCAATGTCATTGGTGCCAACATGCACCATGACTGCTGACTCCTCCCTGGCACTATCTATCATCCTATCTAGACAACACATGTCTGCAACCTTCACACCAGGCAGGCAAGTCACCATGCAGTCAAAATGCCCATCAAAGAGCCCACTCTCTATATTCCTAATGATCGATCCACCTACTACCAGAAGCCCACCTCCCCCAAGGGTTTCCTCAGTACAAGAGGATATTGGTCCATCGCCCAAGGAAGGAGGTCGCTTCTAAGTGATCACATCCCTACTCCTCAGACTGATACCCTCCAACCTCATGACTCCCATTTTCTGTAACAGCAGAAAAGCTGTCAGCACAGGGGTGGGACTGCTCTGTTAAGTCCCTGAAGGTCTCTTCCCCAAACCTCTCTCTGTGCCTCAGCTTCTCCAGGTCGGCAACCCTAGCCTCAAGGGAACAAATCTGCTCCTTGAAAGCCATGAGGTCCATGGAGCGACAATACACCCATGATTTCCACCAAGTGGGTAGATAATCATATATGCGGCACTCTCTGCAAAATACTGGATAGCCCCCACTCCCCTGCTGGCCTTCTACACCTTCATAACTGGTTACATGCTCCTCTCATGAAGATTTGGTATCCTTAGGTACAGAAATGCATCTTGGGTTTAAGAGCACACCTATCTTGTCTTTAAAACCATTTCACGCATTCAAAAAGAGAAAATATTTCATATGAGGGTTTTTTTCTGTACTCCCCCAAAAAGTGGACCCACAGGAACAGCCTAGTGGAGATCTGCAGAGTGAGGGGGGGAACTGGTGGCAATCCGCACAACTATGCTGGTGCCTTTTTTTAAAAAAAGGCACGGATTTAAGATAATCTTCACCTAATTAAGTTAAATGTTGCTGGAGGTGACCCAGCATTACCCTTTCAAGAGCCTTGCTTTTTAAAAAAGGCAGTTTTGGAACTGGTCTGTAATTGGTTGGTTCAGACAGGCCCAATGCAAGTATTTACAGTAGTGGTAAAGGTAAAGGTTCCCTTGCTCGAAAGCCAGTCGAATCCGACTCTAGGGTTGCGGTGCTCATCTCCGTTTCAAAGCCAAAGAGCCAGCGCTGTCCGAAGACGTTTCCGTGATCATGTGGCCGGCATGACTAAACACCAAGGCGCACGGAACGCTGTTACCTTCCCACCAAAGTGGTACCTATTTATCTACTTGCAATTTCTTGCTTTCGAACTGCTAGATTGGCAGGAGCTGGAACTAGAGACGGGAGCTCACTCCGTCATGCGGCACCCAGCTCTCAAACTGCTAAACCTTCCACAGCCTGCAGTTCAGTGTCTTAACCACTTGAGCCACCGTAGCTCCTACAGTAGTGGACAGACCACCAATTATTGCCCATCAAAGAAGTGTCAAAAAACTCTGCAGTAGGATGCATGCATTTAATGAAGCTGGCATAGGTTAACATAGAGATCCCCAATGTGATGTCCATGGGCAACATGGTGCCCACTAACACATCTCCTGGCACCCACCAAATGCCTTTAAGAGCAGTCAGGGCCAGGTGAAGCTTTTGCCCAACAAGGCTTTTGATTGGTCACTGGAGATTTGATTGACTACAGGTTAGCAGCTGCCACTATAACACAAGGACCTTCACTGCAGGCCTGTAGCTAATGTGGGGCCCATTGGACCTGCCCCCCCACTGTTTTTGCAGGCCCCTCCCACAATCTGATCTGCTGGATGTCATCTGATCTGCAGAGTGCCTCAAGGGGCTGTGCTTTCCCCGATGTTATTTAACATATATATGCGCCCCCTTGCCCAGATTGTCCAGAGGCACGGGCTAGGGTGTCACCAATATGCGGATGACACCCAGCTGTATCTGGTTTTGGGCGGTCAGTCCTACTCTACCCTGGAAGACCTGGACCAGGCATTACAGGACGTGGCTGGATGGCTTAGACTGAGTCGATTGAAATTGAATCCGATGAAGACAGAGGTCCTGTAGCTGAGTCGGAGCAGATCAGGGTTAGGGATCCCGCTACCAGCCTTCGATGGGGCACCATTGGTGCCAGCGCCGGAGGCCAGGAGTTTGGGAGTGCTCCTGGATGCCTCCTTAACAATGGAGGCCCAGGTAGCAGCCACTGCCAAAGCGGCCTTTTACCACCTACGGCTGATTAGGCAGTTGGTTCCTATTCTTGAACGCAATGATCTGGCAACAATGATCCATGCAATGGTCACCTCGAGGTTGGACTACTGCAATGCTCTCTACATGGGGCTGCCCTTGGCATCACCAGGAGATTTGGATAAGGATATATACAGCTGGATGTCATCCACATATTGATAACAACCAACCTCAAAGCTATGGAAAAAGTATCAAACAAGGCTTCCATGTGTGCAGATGTGTGAATATTCATAACTAAATTGGTTCCCAATGAAACATATGAAAATTTTTACCTGTCCAGCCAAGCTAAGAGGCTTTTTGCAGCTCCAATCAGATCCACCACTGAAGTAAGGAAGTCATTTGGTAATTTTCTGCTGGTCCTACCATCATAATGACCACTCCTCCTCCTGCCTGTGATAAAGTTCTGAAGATTTTTGGCAGATGCATTTAGCTTGTGAGAAAGTGTTTTTAGGTTTTCGGTTTCCAGTCCGTAGTTCTGTACATAAGAAAAAAGAAGAAAAAAAGCTCTCTTTGATACAAAGTACAAAAAAAGGGTATGCTTTACAATTAACAATCCCTGGCAATGAATGTAGGAATACACTACCTTTCAAAGAATAAGTTTTATTTCCAAAATATATCTACACAGAGGCCAAAGCAAATTTCTATGATATTTTATTAAGATTTATATACAAATATGAATGGCACTGCTGCCTCACCAAGCTGCTTTGGAAGTGAGAAGGGGCTGGCAGCTGATTGGACTCACCCAAAGTCTGGGCAACTGATAGATAGGCCGGGAAATGGGCAGGCAAGTTTGGGAGTCATCTAGCTCCTCAGGCACCAGCCCAGCACCCACCTGAACAGCCATGAATGAATCTGGATCCTTCAGAGTGTGTAGTGAGTTACATGGGTTTCCCCTCATAGTCTGCTGTGTGCACACAGTATTTGTTCCTGTGCACTTGGGAGGATTTGGTGGATGTACTAAAACAACGGACAGGATTGTCCGTTGGGAACAATGGGAGAGGCTAGAAGGCTCATTGGATATAGTGGGAGCCAAGAATGCCAATTGACTTGCATGGACTTCATTGCAATACATTACAGCACACAAAAATTGCAATGAAAATGGAGAATGGGTTTTGGATTAAGGTTCCTGGGCTCAGATAGACAGCTCTGGGAATGAAATGATGCCCCACAGAGTGGAATGATGATCCCTGGGGGTAGCATGATTGTTCTGAGCCCCCAGAGTGGAATGACAGCACCTGGGAGTAGCATTTGTGTTCTGGGACTGGAATGACAGCCTCCAGGAGTAGCGGATATGTTCTGGGTCAGGAACAAAGGCACATGGGAGTAGCATGAGTGTTCTGGGACAGGAATGATGGCCCCTGGGAGTAGCAGAAGAGCTCTCATACTGGAATGACAATCCCCTGACTGGAATGATGACTCCCAGGAGTAGCAGATTTGTTATGGGTCTGGAATGACAGCACACAGGAGAGAGTGATGGCCCCTGGGAGTAGCAGAATTGTTCTGGGACTGGAATGACAGGTACAAGGGTACAATGATGGACCCTGTGATTGAAATCAGTGTTCTGTACCTGTAATCACAGACCAGGAATTTAGGTACCTCTGCCTATATCTTTGATAGTGAAAAGCTGACACAGAGCTGAGATGGCTTGGTGCTACTTGGTGAAGGCTCCAAGATTTGTGCACAAAAAAGATTGAGATTTCCTGACACATTGTACTTCTAGAATTACCAATATCTGAGACTACATTCTGAGGTAATTTTAAATTGCAGATCTGTGATGAAACCCCGAGGAAATTAATTTTTAAGATAAAATTCACAATCTAGCTGTGACTTTTAGTCTTAATAAAGAGGTCATTTCTGTTGCTTCTGTTTAATTTTTTTTCATGGCCCATGAAATCTAATTTTTACATTCTAAGTGTAAAAAAACACACCACACAATCACATTCTTTTCCATGTTGTAACAAAACACTATCCAGTAATTATCAGCCCTTGCAATGGTTTACCTGTGGCATGCGCTATATTGGAATTGGAAAAGTGACCAGTAATAACCACTTGATGATAGTGTTAGTCTTGGACTTTTAAGACTAGGTTTTTAAAAATGTATCACTCAACCTTAATCTAGGCTCACTGTGTAATCTTGATCGAGTCACTATAGCTTTTTCTAACTTACTTCTCAGGGTTCCTTCAAGATATTTGTTTATTTACTTCATTTGTACCATATCCTTCTTTCCTACAGGGAGTCAATAGTCTCTCGCCCAGGGCCTACGAAAAACTGGAACCAGCCCTGAACATATGTGCTGAGAAACTGTTTCATTTCCTGTTACAGAAATTTATGCGTGGGTATGGCCAGAGGCATGAGCTAAAGGGCTTTTTCCTATACCATGTCATACTGTTTGTGACCCTGCATGAACTGTCCCATGGAGCCAGGAACAGGCCAGGAATTGGGAGTTTTGATGTATATCCTGTTGTTGTTTGTTTGTCTGAATTATGTTTATATTATGTGGTTGCATTTATCTGTAAGCCACTTGGAGTACCCAATGGGGAAAAAAGTGGGATAGAAATACACTCTGATAAATAAAATATGCTTGCAACAGTCATCAAGATTGGAGCACAGCCAAGCTCTGTAGCATAACTCTTTGATATAAGCATCCCCTAATATACAAACAATTCATTTTATAAGAAAGGCAGGCAAGTGGGACTGTCGAACTCATCGTAACATGTTTAAAATAAATCAGTACATATCTTGCATGTTTAACCGTGCTGCGCAATTAATTGACTGTAAATCTCCTGTAGGGCCAATGCTATGGAGAGGTGCTATTACCACCTGAATTGTAACATCATCATCAGGGATAGAAGGACAAGTCCTTTTATGGATCAAAAACTGGCTAGTTCATAGAAAACAGAGAGTGAGTGTAGGTGGGCAATTTTCTCAGTGGAGGGTGGTAAGCAGTGGGGTACCGCAGGGATCAGTACTTGGTCCACTGCTTTTTAACTTGTTCATAAATGATTTGGAGATGGGAGTAAGCAGTGAAGTGGCTAAATTTGCGGATGATACAAAGTTGTTCAGGGTGGTGAAAACCAGTGAGGATTGCGAGGCACTCCAAAGGGATCTGTCAAGGATGGGCAAGTGGGCGTCAACATGGCAAATGGGGTTCAATGTGGCCAAGTGCAAGGTGATGCACATTGGAGCCAAAAATCCTAAATATAAATACACATTGATGGGGTCTGAACTGGCAGAGACTGAGCAAGAGAGAGATCTTGGAGTTGTAGTAGATAACTCACTGAAAATGTCGAGACAGTGTGTGACTGCAATAAAGAAGGCCAATGCTATGCTGGGGATTATTAGGAAGGGTATTGAAAACAGATCAGCCAATATAATAATGCCCCTATATAAATCAATGGTGAGACCTCATTTGGAATACTGTGTGCAGTTCTGGGCACCACACCTTAAAAAGGATATTATAGCTTTGGAAAAAGTGCAGAAAAGGGCAACTCGAATGATAAAAGGGTTGGAACACTTTCCCTATGAGGAAAGGTTAAAGCGCTTAGGGCTCTTTAGCTTGGAGAAAAGACGACTGAGGGGTGACATGATTGAGGTTTATAAGATTATGCATGGGAAAGAGCAGGTAAAGAAAGAGGTACTTTTCTCCCTTTCTCACAATACAAGAACTCGTGGGCACTCCATGAAACTGCAGAGCGGTCGGGTTAGAACGGATAAAAGGAAGTACTTCTTCACCCAAAGAGTGATTAACACATGGAATTCACTGCCACAGGAAGTGGTGGGTGCTACAAGCATGGACGGCTTCAAAAGGGAATTAGATAAGCATATGGAGCAGAGGTCCATCAGTGGCTATTAGCCACAAGGTATAGATAGGGGCTCTGGGGCAAGTGATGCGCTGTCTTCTTGGTGCTTGGGGGGGGTCAACAGTGGGAGGGCTTCTAATGTCCTGGCCCCACTGCTGGACCTCCTGATGGCACTGGTATTTCTGGCCACTGTGTGACACAGAGTGTTGGACTGGATGGGCCTTTGGCCTGATCCAACATTGGCGTCTCTTATGTTCTTATGTTCTTATATCTTACTGAAGTCCTGGCCCCTATGTGGATAATAAAGCTGCACATAAGGGCCAGCAATGGAAGGAAAGAGGAGGTTCTGTACATTATTGGGACCCCCAGAATTGAAGGAAAATGTTTTCTGACTTGCCTGACCACCTTTTGGGCAAAAACAACCCCCAAAAAGGAATCATTTCTGAGCATATGTATGATACACATCACAGAACAATGAAGTTGCTCAGGCAACCAAAATGGGGGCCAATCTCTAAAGAGAATTTGGATTCTATTTCATATGCCTGAGCAGTCTCATCAAACGTCCACCCTTGAGTTCTGTCACAGGGTCATAGCAAAAAAGGAAACTGACCTCTCTACCAAAGCCAATGCTTTAGTATTTGATGAGGTCGCTGAGGTAACTGAAATCATGTCCAAATTCTTCCAAGAGCATAGGTACCACTTTGAAAGGAAGGAAAGACAATGGGCTGTTTGGAGGCAAGCCAGTGCCTGGCTACCACAGGGACAGTTTACTGCTTTGTGTGCCCCTGGGGGAATAGCCAGTTGCCAACTGCTTGCCTTCCCCCCTCCCAGGGCTCCTTTTTAAAATAGTGTGTTCAAAGCAGTGTGGGTCTATGTGGTACAGAGAATCACTTCCAGAATCAAAAGTTTAAAGTATTTATTAAAAAGAAAATGTCTACAAGCATACTTTAAACACAACGCCAGAGTGAAGCAAGGAAGAACAAAAGAAATTGGTAAAACATAAATCCTCTGTCCCTCTCAACTATGTGTACCCTATCTGATGGTAAAATACAGGACAGGATCTTTGTCTTAGGTGTTCTAAGTCTCTAAAGTTCTGTCATTATCTTAAAGCTGGCTTCCAGCTCTTTAGGCCAACCACATGGTCCACAATGGTTGCTTGCTCCCAACCTCAGACAAAAGGTCTGTCCCAGTCAGTATCCCAAGGAAAAAAGAGTTATTCCCTGTTGTCCGAATAATTTATCCTCTCTGTTCCTCCTTCCCCTTGACCCTTGTCAGCCCATATCAAGGCATCTTTTCTTGTTGTCTCCAGAAAGTCCCTTCCTGTTACCAGTCTAGCAATTAACACCGCCACCTCTACTCCCTGCTTGGAGGGGGGGTGCACTAGCCCATCCCACTGTCTCTAGCGAGATCGTTTAAAATTTCTTAAGAGATGCATCTGGAAGGCCATGGACTAATTTCCTCCCTCCTCCAGATTGTTCTTAGCTCAGAGGGGGGGGGGGAATGGTTGAAATGCACAGGAAAGGCTTCTGCTGCTTGCCAACCCTCCAGGAGACGATGCATTTCTCCTCACAGTTAAGGTACTACAAATACTAAAAGTGTGCACAAGTTATCTGTTCATGCCACAATACATGTCAGACATTCACTTCTGATGTCACAGGATGCTGTATCTCTGTA